GGCCCGCGCATCTACATTTTTTCGCCTGACCCCATCAGTGCCGACCCAACTACACCACCACGCGCATGCCTCGCGGCGGATATGCGCAGCAGCAAGAAGGTTTCGGTCATCCCTTGAGGGTGAGTCTAGCCCTGCTCGCCAGAAAGACCCCCCCCTTCACTACAACCCATGTCTAAGCAAAAGCTTGTCGAGGAGCGAGGGGAAGAAGGGAGAGTATTACTCCGCAATAAACAACCAGGAAAGGTAGGGTGGTGCACAGCGTAGTCTACCGTCCTACCCCTCACTTTCCAAAAATGAACCACGGCGCCCCCAGCCACAGCAGCTAACCGCGGCCGATACCATGTTCATCGCACTGCTGGGCACACCAACACTGCAAACGATAGGCACGGCGCACATCAAGCATGGGGAAGCGTGACCGACACAGGAGTCCATCATCCTCTTCCTCGGAGGAGAGGGGCCGTCGGAAGTCTTCCAAGTCTAGCAAACAGAAGCAGGTGTGTTCGGCAGATACTGCTGCTGTCGCGGGTGCTTCTAGGCGAAGATCTGTGCGTGTGCGATGTTGCTGGGTGCCCCACATCGCACCAGGACGGCGTTGTCTGAACTGGCCGTGCTTGGCTTCGAGGTATCCCGTTGTACGATACAGAGTCAGTTTGATTGATGTTTCTAGTTTGTCTTCTCATGGAGAGAGGGGTGCACAGAAGCAGCGACTTGCGACATACTTGCTACATGGTATTGCGTCAGGTGAGACTGTGGTGCATGGGTGCGCTATGGCCACGACTACTAGCGGGAGTGCAACTAAAGTAGTCTTCCATCCTTAGCTAGAGCGGAGGATGGTATAGTGGATCTCTGCTGGTTGTCAACCCTGACGGCCCTCTCAGCACTGCTGCCCTGGCTACGACAGAGCGTGGAACTGCTGTCCTATGTATGTACATGTTGTACACGTGGGCTTGCTTGTTGGGCGCTGGCCTGTATCCCTGATCGACCAGGAAGCACCGACCATCGAAGATTGTATTCCAACGTCGACCACGCTTTTGGTGTTGGCAGGACAAGGACAAAAGAAAGAAGCAATCCAAAAAACCGTCTCGCTCGGAATCGAGGTCGCGTTCACCACCTCAGAGCAAGAGCAGTCGCCGCAAGCGGGACGATCGCAGCCGAAGCCCGAGTGTCGATGAAGAGGCACGGAGGAGGGCTAAGGAGGCCAGGTATACCCATCGTTGCCTCAGATCTCGAGACTTGTACGGCAATGCACAGCACGGAACCGAAAAACTTGCCTTCTTCAATGTTCCGGAGCGGGGCGTTTCGGTTGCTGTGTCAATCGTGTTCCAGTACAGCAGTACATAGCACCAACATGCTTCTACGCTTCCAAGAGTTACGTACGGCCGCAAGCAAAGCTATACTCACACTTTCTGTGCCAACCGCGGCAGGTCCTTGTTGATTTCTCCGCAGAAGTTTGTAGATGAAGGAACACAGACTGTGTTAATCAATGGGGGGCGGCGCCTGACGATGTGAGTCCCTGTCCAGAGATAGGCCTGCATTAGCCGACCCTACCACTGTCGTGAAACGAAGGACACAATCGCCCACGCCGTGCTAGCTTGGCTTTTTATTTGACCGAATTTCGACACTTTTCGTGGCCTAGGAGGGAGCAAAAGTACCAGGAGAAGTTGGCGCTGAAGAAAGCTCAGCGGCGCGCGGCAGAATCGGAACACGAAAAGGCGGAGAGGAAGCGAAAAGCCAAAATGGACGGCACGGCGGCTCACTTCGGGTGAGGATTGGCTGACACATGCCGACCCGTCCGCTCTCATTTTTTACGGTATTTCTTCGGCGGCGGTACATTTAGGGTCAGTCCTCGCGAAGCGCGCCGTGTGTCTCAACGCGTACGATTCCCAAAGTTTGGTAGCCGCCTTTGGCGTCCGCATTGAAATCGTACCGCCGAAATCGTGGGACGAATGGGTCACAGCTTTCACAACTCTGTTTGCACCTGCAAACCGGATCTCGCTCTTGGCGCGTGAGGTCATGACACTTCAGGCCAAGCCGGGTGAAGGAGTAGACATGTTCTCACTCAGAGCAACGCAAGCTTGCTCACGCCTCATCGAGGAAGCAAAGCGTACAGTACCACCAAACATTTCCCCGAATGCTGGTGTTCCACCTGTTTCGAGGGATTTGCTAATTTGGTCGTGACGTTTTTATTCTTACCAGGTACACAAACGACATCAACCCGTTCGGTGATTCCAACCTGACAGAGCAGTTTGTTTGGGGCAAGAAGAAGGAGAAGGAGGGAACTGCCGACAAGCTGCTCACCAAGCGAGAAATGCGCGAGATGCAGAAAAAGAACATCGATGAAATCGAAAAGGTAAAAGCTTTTTGTGAGGCTCATAAGCAGGCATCGCAGCTCCGAGTAACGAAAAATGGGTTGTTCTACGGATGATGTTGGTGAGGTCGGCAATCACTGTTGATGAACGCTTCCGAGCAGTGAAGCCCAGCTAGCTCGATGGCATGGCGGTGTTTTTGGGAGCCCAACTGATAATGTATGGCTGCGAAAGAAATTGGAATTGGGAAAATTGATTCATGAATCGCTTTGTCGGGGTCTCTGTTTTCGTGAAAAGGTGCGAAAGAGACGAGACGATGCCGAGGCGGAGCGCGAGGAAATGGATCGCCTCAAGGCGGAAGAGTCGAGGCTCCGCGAGCAGCAGCAGTACGGCGACTGGCAGAAGAAGGAAGAGCAATTCCACCTGAAGCAGGCCTCGCAGAGGTCCAAGGTGGGTCCAGAATGCCGTTTTCCCGGTTTCCACTGGTAAGGTGTAGCTGAGGTGCACCACGGCAATGCTGCCGTGTGACAGAGCACCTCGGGCTCTCTCTTGTGGTTGGGGTGCACTTTCCCCAGCCAAATGTGGCAATTTCCTCCCCCGCCGCCTTAACGTGCTGCTGCTGCTGCTGTTGTTTCTTTTTTTGTTGTGAACAGATTCGCCTGGTGGAAGGGCGGGACCGCCCAATCGACCGCCTGGCGAAGAACGTGATTCTATTCGGGGAGCAAGATCAAGGGGAAGGGGAAGTGAGTGAGAGAGTTTGAAAGTATCAATAGACGTCGAGCTTGGGGTCGTTTATGGACATGCGTCAAAGTAGTTATCGTAGTCACTGCTGCTGTCCAGATCTACACTTGTCCTTGGCGTTGTATTGTGCTATGTTTCGTTTCTGGAGCAAGGTGATCGAACCGTTTTTTTCATGAAGGGCACTTGAGATTGTGCGAGTGCCACCGTTGATTGTGTTACATCTTCGCTAAACCCGACCTTTCTCCACCCTGTGCATGGTGACGTCGGTCTGTTCAGGTGGGCATCAAGTACGGCGGGAAGGGAGACGTGGACGTTACCGGCTTGGAGATGGAGCTCAGAGAGCCATACAAGGTATGGTTTGTGGAGCAGCGTTGCCACCGTTGTGAGTAGATTGATGGAAGAAGCACAAAGTCGATAAGCATGGGACATCATGCCTGAGCTGCTTCGTTTGCGAGAGTGACCGCGGTGCATGTCGTACGAAAATGGCCACGTACTTTCCAGTCCCGTCTAGTCGGTGTGTGCGCTGCGTTGATCGCGTCTGTCTCACAGCTGTTGCTGTCGTGTTTCCTGTTCGTGTTCTGGTGCGCACTCTCTTGTTGTTCCTCTGCAGTTGTTCGATGGCTTGACCTTGGAGGAGCTCGAGCAGCTACAAACGGAGATCCTGCAGTACCAAGAGCTCGTCGGGGAGAATGGGTGGGTGGGTGGGTAGATGGATGGATGGAGAACACTTCATCGCGTACAGCCCCAAGCCCCCATCCTCTCGCATCGCGTCATGTCTCGACCTCCGTTGCTGGTGTCCGTCTTGTTGGTGTTTCAAGACATATCCTCCCGTGCTGTCGGGGCTAGGAATTCGCGCAGGGCACACACCGCCACGAACGCTCGACGAACATTGTGCACAGAACTCGCCACCACTTGAGAACTTGCAGCAGTTAAGAACTTGCGCCTTAAAATGTCCAATCTCATAAAATCATAAAACTTGGCCGTAAGAAGTGGTGCTCAGCGAAGAAACCTGCTGTTGAACCTATACAGTCGCCGTGGCGGTAGGTACCCCATCGACGAAATTCGAAACGGCCTTCGGCCAAAGTATGGGGTTATGGAGAGATGGCGCTTCCTTCATGCAGCTGTGCGCATTTTCCGACTAGACTTACCTCTACTTCGTACTTCGTTGTCTGTTTGCCCGGAAAATGCCGTTCAGCATGGTGCTTGTAGAGTAACGCTGGCTGCACCACCCCTACGGATCTTGACAACCCTTGCATTGTCGCATTACTTTGACAGGCCGAATCGAGACTTCTGGCTATCTCTAGGGGTTGTTTGCGACGACAAGGTGGCGAAGGCCAAGGAGCTGCTCGGGGAAACCGAGGAGGGCGTCGCGACGGGGGGGCTGCATAAGGTGGGCCACTACCGCAGACGACAACGATTGGAGTCGTTCAGCTTGAACGACTGTGTGTGGAAATTTCATATTGCGCCTGCTAGCAAGTCGCTTGCAGGACATCAACACTGGCGTTCTGTGTCGGCTGCTGAACGGTTACGGGTTGATGGGCCCACAGCCGTTGATTGTGGGTGCTCCGCTGCACTTGAACACCCAACCATTACCTGCGTGAGTTTCCCTTTTGTGAGGCTGATTTTCGTTGCTGCTGCTGCGTTGATCCGTTCGCTGATCAGACGGTTATCGACGACGTGACGGCCAAGTTCGAGAACCAGACCGTGGAAGAGTTGGCTGAACAGAAGACCAAGATCCAGGACAAGCTGGACTCCGGCGAGGCTTCGGTGGATACAGAGTTCTGGGAGGCCGTGCTGAAAGAGCTACACGTTTTCCAGGTGCAGTGGTTCTCTTGACTTAACTCTCTCAGTCGCTTGGTATTACAAACGGGTCAATGGTGTCAGGCTGGTCGTGGGAGAGCCTGGCCTTCAGACCGACGGTTTTTTACGGAGCGTTTTTTCGAGGCGTGTTCTTTCCTTACTTTTCTCGCAGACGTTGGTGGTTCGTGTGGGCTGGTTTCAAGCGGAGAACCGCCCCTTTCCTTCCTCCTTGTCTTCCTGATGCGGCAGGCGATGGCCAGGCTTCGCGACGTACACCAAGCCATGCTGGAGGCTCAGCTGGAGAAGCTGGAAGGTATGCAAAGGCGTGAACAACAGTTGGGGTGACAATGACAGAGCGGGGCGATGGCACATGATTACAACTGGAAAGTTAATATCGAAAACACAGCAAACATTTTTGAGAAAAAGTCGCCCAACTTCCTAGGTGTGAAGATCAGCAAGGATTAAAAAAACGACTATCTCCCTCTACTCTCCCGCTACTTGGCATGGGTTGATTTTTTTTTTTCAGTGGTCAACGCTGGCCTCTCTAGTATCACTAACAGCACTGGGCACACCATCCTTTTTAGGTCCTCCAGAGCTACATTTGGCTGTACTACTGCTGTTACCATCAAGGGTGAAGGTCAGTTGGCTTTCGCGTTTCGTGCGGAGTAGCAAATGGTGGTTGAGTGGCGATGATGCTCTTTTGTGCGTCGCAGTCTCATTTGTTAGTTTAACTTTCTGCGAAGTGTTGATGGCGTGTGATTCATAGCCGCGAGCCATTTGAGGGCATAGTCATGTCGTCCCCATCTAACCGGTGGTATTTTTGTTTTGATTCAATCCAATCCCATTTAATCTTTCAGAAATGCGGGACAGTATGAAGAGCAAACGCGCCAGCAGAGCGGAGGGAGACGAAGAGGAGGAAGAGGAAGAAGAGGAAGGAAAGGGACCGGCGATTGCGACCACCGCAGCAGACTCATCCGCCCTGGCCATGGTAAGTTGTCGGATGACTTCCTTGAGACAACGCGGGGAGGGGGGGAGAGGGGCTGAGAGTCTGATGTTGTGGCGTGGTCTTGGCGCCATCTTGATTTTTGAGGACCTCGCCATGGTGAATAGTGGAACGTCGAGAGAGATGGCTTCTCCTCGTTGGTGCAGACGATGGCGAGATCCTCGGAAAAGCTTTCAAGACGGAGAGGTTATTGGTTGTGTTATTTAACAAACAGAACGGGAACGCTCTTCTCTTGAGGGATTGAGTTGAACCTCTGACGACATTAACAACCAATATGATGCGCCACCTAGCGTGGACGCTGGCACCCACCGACATGCCAGCGACGGGAGATGGTATCGACATGGTATCTGGTTCAATGCTGCGGCCAAGCTCCTTCCTCAGGCTTTTTACCTCTTGGTCTGAGGTTTCTATTGCCTTGGAGGTGTCTCTGCAAGTATACCAGTAGCATTGCTGTGTGCCCAGCAGGGTGCATGTGCGATACGTCTCTGCTATGTTTGTTGGCGATGCGTGTGAGGCCATGTCTTGGCGCGTGTATCTGCCGTGCGTTGTTCTCTTGTCCGGACTGTGAAGGGCATGCTGGCCAACGAGAAGAGCAAGGGGATGGGAGACGAGGAAGAGCGCATGGACTTGGCCGACGAGGTGGACATGGGCGGGAAGGTGAGGACTTTACAGACCACCTCGCTGCCTCGTGCTGTGCCCTGCTTTCGGGTGCTGTTTGAAAACGACCTTGATGCACCGGGCAGGCGGTGTATTGGTCGTCTTTTGCGCAAGGCGCAACACCGTAGAAAAAACAGCTACCCATTTCCATGCTTGCTAGTGACCCGTTCGGTTTTCTTGTAGACCTGACGTGGCCATCGGTGCATGCATTGCTTGTTTCGTTTTTCGCCAGACGTACTGGTGGCACGACAAGTTCCGCCCCCGGAAGCCGCGCTACTTTAACCGGGTCAAGACGGGTTACGACTGGAACAAGTACAACCAAACGCACTATGACCATGACAACCCTCCACCCAAGACCGTGCAGGTGAGACGGACTTCGGGCCGCTGCATGTGTCTCTCTCACCCTGCGGAACCTGCACCGCTCGAGTTGATGGTCTGAGTTTCTTGTTTTCAATCTCTATCGCACCGCCGGCACGCGTTGCGCGTGCATGGCCATGGAGTGATGGTTGGGTCGATGCAAAAGAACGTTGCTGGGGTTCCTCGGGTATGTTTGGGTCCGATGCACGGCGAGCCGCTCTAGCCCGCTACAGTGGTGTACCACGTCGTTCCTGTGTTGGCTACTTTCGTGCTGTAGCTGCCACGGTACATGCTGAGTGCTGCAGGTAGGTGCTGCAGGGCAGATGATGCCGCATGGACATATTTGGACCTACACAACGGTACCGCAGGCCTGGCGCGTGCGTTTTTTGGCCACCGCTGGTTGTTCACCCTCACCAGCTCGCTCTCTCGCTCTAGGGTCTGATCTTCACATAGTTCTAATACATTCCAACCTCGGTGGCGGCTAACCTGTACAATAACACCCTTGCGCGCGTTTTCCCTTTCAACAATTTTCGCCGCAGGGCTACAAGTTCAACGTGTTCTACCCAGACCTGATCGATCGCGAGGATACCCCCAAGTATTTCTTGGAGAAGGCGGATCACCCCGGCTTTGCCATCCTCCGATTCCACGCCGGCCCTCCGTACGAAGACATCGCCTTCAAGGTAATATGGACTATCTAGACTATGCTTCAAGCCCACGCGCTTTTTTTCATGTACAGTGTAGGAGTCCTGTTGCTCTTCGTCGGTTGTTTCGATGAACGTGGAATTCGTTTTTCTTTTTTGGGTCCTACACCCGTCCGTGGGACTGGGCGTTCCTCTGGCATACCTCCTTTTGGCGTTGCAAAAAAGTGATTAGTACTTATTCAGTCTACACTAAGCCGATAGCGACAGGAAGTGTACCACAATACAGGCCTTCCAACACGATCAGACTCGTGGGTGTGTAGAAATCGGTGACAATGCGTGCTCTATTTTCCCTCCCCTCACGTATCTGTGCTGCTGCCAACGTCAGATCATCAACCGAGAGTGGGAGTTTGGACGCAAGCGAGGTTACCGCTGTGTGTTCGAGCGCGGTGTACTCTCTCTCTACTTCAACTTCAAAAGCCTTTGGTATCGCAAGTAGTATGCATACATGTATGTATGGGGTACACGCACTCTTCGCCTGCTGGCGTACCTCGGGAATCCGTCGCGGTCTTTCCTACTGCTGTAGTCCGACAAGTTTGTGTATCGCAAGGTGCGGTAAGTTTTGGTGTTGAGTGTTTCAAGTAGTCCTGCACGAGGCGCGGCCCTTTGTTAGCTCGTGGCGCGCCGGTTGTCCGAATGGCGAAAGGCCTGCTATGGGCGTTTTCTGGATTTTCGGCCTCGAAATATCGTGTTGGCTCTTGTTTCGGATATGCTGTGCGCTATGTAGACGCCGCATGGCAGTGCAGGAGCATCGTAAGCGCATGGGCCGAGGATTGGCACGGCAACCGGCGTCGTATCGGTTATGACGCTTTGGCGGAAACGATGCCTACCTTTTTTAACCCTCGAGACACTTCGATGAAGCGGATTATGTACAGTAGCCTAGCAGTGAAGCTGTAGATGTAGTCTTAAGCAGCCCGCTGTGCATTGATAGATGCACAACGCGTGTTGTTGTGGATTCCGTCCTATCGGGTCCCGAATCCCGATCAGGCGGACGTGAAGGTTGACTGAGAATTTTGGAGTACATGTTGTGGGATCACGTTGTTGGAGGGAGTTATGTAGCCTTGGATTGCGTAACCGCATCTGTTTTGTCTACGCCTCTTCCTTGCGTCTATCCAAACCGCTGCGCGCCTGACGCTGGTCCCCGGAACTCTGCGAGAAATCTGGCGCGTTACGTGCGTCCGTACAGCAGCCGCTGTTTTTCATGCCTGCTCACGATGACGATGCGTGCGTGCTGTTGTTCACGAAGAAAAGGACAAAAGGGACGCAGGGCAAAGACACAATGACTACAACAGCGTGGAAACATCAGCTAGAACGATGCAGCGGTGGTACCAGTAGCAGTGAGCAGTACAATAAACGCATACAACTTAGAGAACGCCGAACCACCAGTCGAAACGTCGAAACGCCCAATGAAAGGTTCCATCCGAGGCTTTGTTCCTCCTCGGCGCATCCGCATCCCGCCGCAGTTCTACGACAGCTCCGGTACATGTCACAACAATCACCACCACGCCGCACTCCGCACTCCCGCACGAAAAACGTCGAGGGTGATGAATCCGTGACGAGGCGAAGAAAATATGAAAAAATGTTGTTTTCACAGGATCCACGAACGGCCCAGAGATGAAATCGAGGTGAGAGCAAGTAGCAGCGTCAAGAACAGCAGCTTCCACAACTGCCGTTGACGTCGACCAGAGATCGGACGGGAGGCAGCAAACTGCTGTTGTTCGATTGTATGAAGCAAAAAAGGCAGGGTTCGTGGTTATTGGTGATCATCTGCACAAAAATGGGCGCATGAAACCAAAACACGACTGTCTGTGCATATTCCACCACAGCGACCACAAGACTTCTGTCACCCCTGTCAAACACAGCAGCAGTGATTGGTTCAACGACTTTCCGGTGATCGCTTTTGGTCATTGGTTTCTGTGGAACATTTTCGTCTCCGCATCCATAAAGTCTATGCATGAACGCAGCAAGCTATGGGCTCTTCTAGATGGCTTGGACAGATAGAGCTGTTGTTGTGTTGTGGAGACCTCTTCTCCAAAAATACTCCTTGTCCCAAGGGTGGAGCCAAAGTGTGCCCGCTGCCTCGCCTTGGGGAGGAGGTCCAACTGAACCTCACCTTCTAACCACCTCAAAACATTAACAGCAGGTATTGTAAATATATATTTAGTGCATTTGGGTGTAAGTTTTTCCCTTGTCCCTCTCAGGAGAGACGCTCCACCTTGATCACCCCCCGCTGTGGGTTTGGCGCCTTGCACGGCGTTTGACGTATTTGCTGGACATTGAAACGCTTCCAGGAGTCGCTGCTGCCATCATTTCTTTTCTACGGGCCAGATGCCTCCCCCGCGATTTTTTTTTTCATCCGCGCGTTGGTGTTCTCCGCACTGCCGTCATGTCTATCTTAGTCATAGAGGAAAGGCGCCCGCGTTGCCGTAATTTTGACTCCATGCAACTCGTGCGTAAGCCCAACAACCCACGTCTTTCAATCAAGCCAGCAACCTGCTGCGTTTTTTGAAAGAGGTGGGTTTGCTTTTTTTCACAGGCGTTGTTTTCGATGTGAATTCGCCCCTGCCATGAGGGACAGGCTTGTCTCTGGCGCAGCAAGCGAGAGGAATGGACGTAATGCTGTTCAAGTTCTCGTACTCTGTTATCAATTAATACCAGGCATTGTCCTCGGCCCTCCGTTGACAAGACGTTTCTCTCAGCGCTGCAATTCCGGGAGCTCTCTGGAGCTCTCACAGAGAAGTATTCTCGTTTTGCGGTACACCTCCGTGTTCCTGTCTCTCTGCCTCCCGTCTTCAACCTGCGTCCCTCTCGCCCGCTCAGGGGAAACCAGACCAACCGGTCACGGTACATGCTGTCTATGCACGAGGACTTTCGTCTTCGACTGTTACCATAGAAGTATGTTTTTTCCCTCTCGCCTCCGCTCGCAGTCCACGCCTTGTATGTGTAGCGGAAGTTGGCTACGTTCTATCTACGTGGCATGTGGCTCCTCTGTGCCCATCTCTCCCTGTCTCTCCCCTTTTTGTGTCTCGATCGATACAGTACACCTGCCGATCACCCCGCCACCAATCCTTCTACTCGCGGTACCTGCAGTCATTTTTGAGGGGTGGTCGCGGCAGTGTTATTTTTATCCTGAGCAACGATTAGCAAGCTATCCCGCTTTCCTCGGCAGTCGCGCGAAGCGACAATCACCTGAAAATGTGTAAATAAGACACGACGGACAGGCAGGATGTATCTACCGGTGTGCCATTGCTTCGTGGTTCGATGTCGGTGTGTAGTCAACAATAAACACATGTTATTGTAGTGTCAGACACGGAAGGCATTTTTGCAAGCGTCCTATTTCGGATCTGTACCACATCACGGGTACCCTCTAGTACGGTTTTGACCCATGAATCACTCGCAGCAGCGTTTTCGCGAAGAACGAAAAATATGAAGAAATAACTTGTTCCATCAACAACAAGTACTTACTTTGTTCGATACAACGCTCCCCCGCTCCCCCGCAAATTTTTCGTGGTCCAATCAATCTAAACGCCAACATGGATAACTCGTCTTCCAATGATGTAGGTACATTGTACTGTAGAGTCAGACACGATTCTTAAACAATGGGCCTACCGCTGTACATAGCTCTCTGTCATTCACATGGAGTTTTTTTTTCAGCGTGTGTTGTTGACTGTATTGACTTTTTCCTTGAAATCGCTCAATTCGGGCGGAGACCCCAAGCGCCGGAGACCCAAAGCACCAACAACCTCGTGCCTCCAAGTTTTATCTGGCCTTTTCAAGATCGGACAAACTAGAAACTCCAGACTTTGCAACCAGACGTGTTGGCCTGGACGATGGCACGTGTCCATGTTATATGTAATCTTGACTACGTCGTCCACGCGCATCAGCAATGTCCTATGCTTGGTGGGATTTTGCGAGGGAACAGAGTTGGACGGTCGTTCTTCATGTTGGAAAACGGTCCCTGCCTTTGTTACTCGTGACAACTCAAGCTGGATTGGTTGTGTGTGTGTTTCTACATCGCAGCGAAACGGCATTACATCTCGCGACTGTGCGTGGCATACCTCGGAGTATTTTACTCGTCAGAGTACGTATGGCAAAAGTCTAATCTCCGGTGCGATGAAGTGGTCGGCTACTGTTTACTGGTTTCTGGAAAGCAAAATCACAGGACATTCTCCTCCGATGAATTCGTCAGCAGTTGGCTGTATTCATCTCTTGCCTGTTGCCATAAATATGCACCACGGAAAAAGGCATCATTCGCTGTTGCGTTCGGCGGTTTCATCGTGACTTGTGTTTGGCAGTGTCATGTTTGACTGTAGCAAGCATTCGCTCACAACTCCGAAATCGTTGAGTTATGACCGCTCGCCGCTACCCCCGTCCTCCTCGTCTCTGCTTTCCTGCCGCCTAATTTTGCAGGGCAGAAAAGAGAGCATCTGCATGCGACGGACCCAAATGCTGCCCAACGCCTGGGGTAGCGCGAAAGCACTACCATCCCATGGATCCTGCAACGCAAAAACCGGCTACGGGGGTGGCGTGGTGGAGGTGCGTTGCGTCACGAATGGCCGGCCTGTAGTATTTTTTTTTTTCTTCGGGGACTGGTGGTCAGTTTCTACGGGCGCATTTCACCCCTTTCCTTGCCACGGCATGGTCGATGAAACTCCAACGTTGCTATGTATCCAAAGTTACCTGCGTCTGAGTATCGACGTTGCGCCCACTCTGCCCACGCTTCATCCCGCCCCATGCTCAGCCCACGACTGGCCAAGAAGCCAATGAACGACGCGGCTGCTGCCACGGACATCACGCCGCCAACAACGAGCGCGCGCGGAAACGGGAAGCGCAAGGGCAGGGGCAAAGTGCCCGAGAAGGTGGGAAAACCGGAAATATTGCACATGAAAGAAGGCTTTTTGTGCCGTGCCAAACTTGAAACGACAAGGAAAAACAAGTAGTTGCAAGACGTGATAGCGGTGTTGGTTGTTAGCTGGGGTAATTCTCCTTGTTTGTTCGTCCTTATTTATGGACGGGAGCATTGATGTCAGTAGTAAACGGGAGTAAATCTATTATTGATGGTGCTGCTGCCTCCCCAACTTGAAGTTGGCGGGTTAAATGACCCAAACGAACTCAACTGCATCTGGCTCCTCTCACTGCTGTCTTGAACGCAATATTTGGGAGGAGGCCAAGGGCGGCGGGAAGGGGAAGGGCAAGCAGAAGGTGCCCAGGGTGGCGGCCGAAGCGGTGAGTAATGTCGCACATGAAATGAGGCAAGCGTGAAAGAAGGAAAACAAATCTTACAACATGTGACAGCGGTGTCGGTTGGTAGCTGGGGTAATTGTCCTGGTTTGTTCGTCCGCACTATTGACGGGAGCATTCAATAGACCCTTTCGGATTTTGTGTTTTGTTGGGTCAGACAAAATGCTCAGACAAAATAAAAGATGGTCAGATTTTTTGGAATCTGTAGCCGGTAACGGTTTTATTTGTCCGAGGCTGCCCCACTTTTCACCCACGGCTCAGACAAATACGTCTCACCAACCTCATTTTATCTGAGGCGTGGGTTCCTGTTCAGGAGGCCCAGATATTTGAGCAGCAACAGAGTAGCGTAAACCACACAAGATGGCATCGCAGGGTACAGACTCGTCCAAGCCTCATGTCGCCACCACCACCGATGCGGGCGGTGTGCGTCTAATGTGTAGGTATATGTGCTTATCGCTGTGGAAGAAACCGAGGTGAGGGTGTGATGAGACAAGGTTCACCAGCAGCCTCAAGAAGAGCAAGTTCCTTGCCTAGAATCAGTTCAGGAGAACACCCAGACCATGAGCTGTAGGCCACTCGAACTGCTGGAAGGTGGCCCAAAAGGTGCTTTTTGTTACTCTCTATCGGCGCCATCCTCTCTACACAACTGTTTCGGTTTGGAATGCTGCTTCAAGAATCGCTGTGGGAGGGGTGATTGTTCTAGGTTGAAGCTGCTGTTGCTGCTGCTTGCTGCTGCCGCAGCTAGCTAGCTGCTGCTGACCGTCGCCTCTCTCTTTCGGTTGATTGAAGCAGGACGCCACCTGAGCGGCTGAGAGTTTGCTTGCCAGAAGCCTTGACAGGGTGTTTCTCTGCGGTAGCAACACCCCGCTAGATGCTCCTGGCACCTTGGATGATAGATGGCAGCACCCAACCAAGCAAACCTATTTTCTTGCTTGGGAGAAGAAGAGGCTGGGGAACGGCGCGCACCAGTCTTTCGGCCAATCAGCGGCGGACCGTTGCCACGTCATGCCGAAAAAACATCTGAGCCTCTTTCCGGAACTTTTGATGATATGGGCAATTTGTCTGGGCATTTTGTCTGGGCAAAACGAAACATATTTCCGAAACGCCCCGATGTCAGTATCAAACGGGAGTAAATCTATCATCGATGGTGCTGCTTCCCCAACTTCACGTTGGCTGGCTGAACGGCCCAAACGACCTAACGGCACCTGACTCTCACTGTTATCATGCTTCGAGCAGTCGTAGAACATGGCACATCCTCTGCCACGCCTCTGGTGGCAGTTAGTTCCGTCGTGCTCTTGCCCTTGCTTTGTTCTTGCTCTTGCTGTCTTCATTTCTTTGGTGCTGGTGTGCTGTCCGGAGGTTAGACAGGTCAGGCCATGCGTGTGCATCGCCACTTCCAACTGATATCCCTGGCCGACCTCGGTGTTTGTCTGTTTTCCTTCCCGCCCGGTCCGCATCTTCTGGTGTGGACCCCTGACACCGTCGATGGAACCCCTTCCGCTACCGCCTGCACTACCGTCGCCTCCTGCGGGAACGGGTCGCAAATAGATCCCGAAGAAGCTCCCGCGGGTTGGTGACGAATTTCAGGTGAGGGGTACGGGTGCAGCCTAGAAACGAAGACCAAGACGACTGTTCGAAGGTTGTTGCGGCAGGAGGTGGAGATCGTAATGCCAAGGCTTCCTCTCGCTGTGCGTGCTTTGGACAGATGACATATGATGAGGTTTGCTGACACTCTCATCGCATCGCGGAAATCGAATCACCACGCACACGTGTTTCGCTTCACGACAAGCAAAGAAGGCTACATCCGTGTTGGTGGGTTTGATTGCTTATTTCGTGTTGTGGAGCAAACGGCCAGCTTTTTCGGAGGGGTGCTCTGTGTTCCAATTATTGTGAATGCGTTTGGCGTCCTCTCACTGCTGTCCTTGGCCTGAATGTTTTGGAAGCCGTATCGATGTTGGTCTGTTGGGGGATTTTTGTTTTTCCGTGACGATCGACGATCTGCTATGCTACAGTAGTACTGCAGACTCCTGTCGGTGGGTGCCGGGTCGCACACTTGGTATCTTCTACCATCTGTGCAGTTGGGCATGGGGGCGGGGGGTTGCTAGAACAAGACCCGAGTCAGGACCAATACCTTAAGGCGGCTTGCGATTCACTGCTGCTATACCCCACCTCCTTCTTGCTTGTGGCAGGCGGTGCTGCCCCCGTGGCCCCCGCTCGGGGCACGACCTAGGGCGGACGTACACAAGAGGCGCAAGCCGTGGGGCGCCCCGTCCGAAGAGGACAAGGTACATACGGGGACGGTCGTGATGTGTGTGGCCGGAGCGGGGGGCAAGGGACGAGAAAACACAACTGATTTTTTATTTTTGCATAAGGTTCCGTCGGAACAAGATGAATGGTAGTTCTATCGGTTGTATGCCTTTGTCCAAGTAAGGATGTGCCGGCATTGGAAGCAGAAAATTTCTACGATTGTCAAGCGGTTCAGGCTCAAGATGGCAGCAGCAGACTACGGTACAGGAGAGGTCGTAGCTGTAGGTGGTACATGTATCGCGTGCACGTCCAAGTAGAATCCTAGGTGGTTGTGTTTCCCCGCATAGTTGTGTGGTGAATCCACAACCGGCCGGTCGGCTCTCTCTCCGTCCTGTACAGCACAAGACGTGTTGCTTTGATAATATTTTGTCATAGCGACGCCACCAATGACAACACAAGAGCAAGATGCAAGCAGCGTGACGCCCCAGCAGTAACAAATGAAGTTGTTTGTCGTGCGCGGTTCCTTCTTTCCTGCGGCAGTCCATGGACCTCTTTACGGTCCAACTCCTGACGGAGTTGCGGACGGACATCTCCGAGGACGAGGTATGAGAAACGCGGGCAAGAAAGGATAGTGCATAGGGGGGGAGGAGGTGCCCATGATCGGAGAATGTATGGTGCAGGTGTTGTTGTGTACACGCTGTCTCCCACGTGTACCAGGTCCGTATCACCATAGAGTAGGTTTCGCCTAGCAAACAGGGAGGCTCATCCAAGGCCTTGTTTCATGTAGCGTACGTATTTGCACTCTCAGTACGCGTCGAATCTTCAAAGTCAGGTGTCGGCGGCAACCAATCCTGTTTGATTGTGGCTGGTATGCAGTAAACGGCCGTTCGTGGACAACTCGTATTCGTTCGATTCACAGCACTGAAATCGGAGTGGGGCTTCCGAAACCTGCATGCATTATCGGGCTCTTTTCTTCTCGTGGTTAATCTCTCGGTCTTATCATCCCCCCACTCGAAACGATTCGATCGTCGCGGCGCGTCTTCGTCCTCCCTGTCCCCTCCCTCCACTAGGTCCTGGAGGCCCTCCGCGCCACGGAGGGAATGGGGATCGGCTACCGCCGATTCACCCACGCGCGCGCTAGTCTGGCGCAAAAGGTGGCCGACAAGGCCCAAGCCACCGCCGCCGCCGCCGCCAACGCCGCCTCTGCGGGATCCGCCCTCAGCATGTGGGTAAAGGCGACAATCGCCGGCTCCGTGGCCATCTCCAAGAGCGCGGTTGCCGCCGCCGCCTCTGAGGAGAACGCGCCTCCTCAGAGGCGGCGGCGGCGGCGGTGGCTTGGGCCTTGTCGGCCACCTTTTGCGCCAGACTAGCGCGCGCGTGGGTGAATCGGCGGTAGCCGATCCCCATTCCCTCCGTGGCGCGGAGGGCCTCCAGGACCTAGTGGAGGGAGGGGACAGGGAGGACGAAGACGCGCCGCGACGATCGAATCGTTTCGAGTGGGGGGATGATAAGACCGCGAGACTATATACGAGCAGAAAAGAGCCCGACATCGTATGTAGGCTTCGGAAGCCTTCTACTCCGGCTTCAGTGCTGTGAAACAAACGAACAACGACTTCTACACGAGCGGGACGTTTACTGCATACCAGCCACAATCGAACAGGATTGGTTGCCGCCGACACCTGACTTTGAAGCTTCGACGCGTACTGAGTGTGCAAATACGTACGCTACATGATACAAGGCCTTGGATGAGCCTCCCTGTTTGCTAGACGAAACCTACTCTATGGTAATACGGACCTGGTACACGTGGGAGACAGCGTGTACACAACAACACCTGCACCATACATTCTCCGATCATGGGCACCTCCTCCCCCCCTATGCACTATCCTTTCTTGCCCGCGTTTCTCATACCTCGTCCTCGGAGATGTCCGTCCGCAACTCCGTCAGGAGTTGGACCGTAAAGAGGTCNCGCATTCGTTTGATTAACAGCACTGAAATCGGAGTGGGGCTTCCGAAACCTGCATGCATTATCGGGCTCTTTTCTGCTCGTGGTTAATCTCTCGGTCTTATCATACCCCCACTCGAAACGATTCGATCGTTGTGGCGTGTCTTCGTACCCCCTGTCCCCTCCCTCCACTAGGTCCTGGAGGCCCTCCGCGCCACGGAGAGATTGGCAACCGGTTACCCGTGGTTCACATCAATACGCGCTAATCTGGTGCAGAAGGTGGCCGTCACGGGCGAAGCAACCGCCGCCGCCGTCGCCGCCGCCAACGCGCCAAAGGTCACCAGCCTGTGGGCAAACGCTGTAATCGCCGTCGCGGTGTCGATATCGAAGAGCGCGGTTGCCGCCGCCGCCTCTGAGGTGGCGTGTACCGCGTTCTCCTCTGGAGGGGGTGCCTTCTCTGCTGGAGTATCCTCCTCCGTCGGAGCTGGTGGCACGTCTGTTGCCGCCTCTTCCTCCGCCGTCCCCTCTGCGGAGGCATCTGCCGTCGCCTCCTCGGGTGCCTCTTCCTCTAGCGAGGCTGCTGATGCGTCTGCGGCATGACTGATCTGGGGAGGGTCCGCACGCCTGCGGCTGTATGTATATTATTGTCCATCTCTCTTCGTGTAGAGTAATTGGCCGACTGAAGATGAGCGTGGGGGGTTGTAGTGACATCGGTGTTGGCGTTGTGGGGTCGCCTGTTGGGTGCCCTCGTAAGTTTGTGGTGTTGGTGGGTGCGGTAACAGTGGATGAAACTCGTCGCGAAACGCGAAACCAATTTACTTTGCTACAAATGAGAGTGACCCGTTTGTTGTCCGTACTACGGTACCCATTTGGAAGGTTTAGGGGAAAGTTGCATGTTATTTTTTTTTTTACGTTCATCCATCTCGTTTGCATGTATGTGGTAATTCATGGCTTTGCATCCTTCAGACTGTCTGGTGTTTTTGTTTTTTAGTGGATCGCATATCCCGGCTACAGCCATAGAAAACGAACAGACGTTTCCCTGGAATGTGCACTGCTGTATATTAGGTGGACTTCCTTATTAGAGGGAATCCACGTGTTGTTGAACTGACGTGAAATGATGACATTTCACGAAATTTTGACGTGAACATGTTCCGCCGCTTTTTTGGGGGCAAACTCTGACGTCGATTTTTTTTCCAAGTCGCGTCAAAACACAAAACCCCGCGAAAGGAATGACGCTTCAAACATCGCTAGACTGGCACACACACGCTTGCGCTGTTACCGTCACCAAATCACGAAAGGGGCGCCGTCAGCATCGAAAACATTGCATTGTCGACCACGCCTGCCTCCTGATTGCTCCTAGCGCTCCAGCACACATAACACACATACGTCTGGGAGAATTCTCACGGCGGCGCAGTGGCCAGACTCGCGTTTTCGGCGCGCGCGTTCGGTAGGTTCGGTAGGTGCGCAGTCGAGATTGCGCACGGGCTTTCAGCAGCAAAAGGAGGCTTAGGCAGTAGTCAAATAGGAGTCCCGCCCTCGAACGGAACACAGATAGAGGAGTAAGGGAGGGTGCACGGACGTGGCCGGTCAGTGGGTGCATCTCGCCGGCCCCCTCGCGGGGTTGGGTGCTCTGCTGCCTCAGTGACATTGGTACACAGCAGCAGCAGCAGTGCAGCGTGCAGCTGCTCCAGCAACAACGGTTTGACGCCTGGGAAGTCGCCGCGGCAAAGGAAGGAAGGTCGGTGGGATGAGGAGCAGGGATATACAGCAAGTCTCCTTGGAGCCACCCAGTCTCCTGGGAGCCTGGGGCAAGTGTGGGAGTGTGGATGTTCGCTTCGGCATGTCGACCTTGTGGGTTGCAGCCCGAACCAACTCTGGGTCGCCTCCACACTACACTGCACCATTTTTTTTTCCTGTCAGGTACCAAGGGGCACACGCGGTGCGATTTTTTTCGCGTCAAAACCCTGAACCGTTACTTATTAATGTTGGCGTCAATCCTCAAAGGTCAAAATTCCGCGTCATTCCATAGTGGATACCCTATATTGTGGGTGGGGGTTTCAATTCAAGGGTAGGTGTTGGGCCTGGTCTCCGCATGGCAGAACCTCGTGTGATTGTTGCAACGTGCACCCCGTGGTAAATCCGTGGCATGTATCATATCATGGAGTGATGACTGAAATTTAGTGCGGTGATGGTGTAGAATATTTAATAATCTGGTGGTGGTGTCGGGTCTGTTTTGACGACGACACGGGACCGCCACATGGTGATCGTGGAGGGTGGCTTGAATTCTTGGTTGTGATAGTAAATCAAACAGGCAAGCCATCCTTCCTGCTGTGTCGACGCTGTGGTGTGGTGTTCCGGCCGTAAGGAGTGATTGTCTCGTGGAGCACGCTGCCTGTCGTTGAAATGTTGTTTGGGAAGAACACAAGGGATTAGGATTGTACAGTTCCACTTGGTAAGGGAGAATGTGGGTGTGGGTATGGGATAGGTTGTGCTCCTGCAAAGCTGAAGCTTGCAACGTGGTGCGATATGCGTTGTCGATGCTCGTTGTGAAGGCAGATAGGGATGCGAGCAATCCGCGTGGTGAGGAAGCAAGTTTTAATCAACTGTACTTGAAGTACAAAGTATCATGAAAATATAAGAAAAAAACGTGCATGCGCAGGAAGCCTGGCTGTTGTTTGATGTGGTGATTGTGGTGCGGTGACGTGTCGACTTTGGCCTACAATACCTGTGTCGTGTTTCCTACTTCTTTTTTTATGGCTTGCTCGAGCAATGGTGGCGTGTAGCGTGACGTGGCGATAGGGTGACTTCGATATGGGTTTACAATTCTGTGCTCTTCGAGCGTTAGAACCAAGGGGTTGTGGTGACGTTTCATGTGTCGATGGTTCACAGCAACAGCGAAGGACGGTGTGCGAATGGCAGGGGCTGATTGGTGATACAAAGGAGTTGGCGGCCGAGTTGTGGCATACCAGTAGCAAATGCAAGCGCTCGTGGGGGACTGCTTGCGGTGTTGGCTGTTGGTCGGTAAGACTGGGGGACGGGAGGGTTGAACGTACGTGATCGTGCATGCATGTTGAACGTCACGGGAGCTGCGTACCCTTCCTGGCTCAGCTGTACTTGCAGGTGTTGCGGCTTGGCGCAACAGGTGCTTGGCATGAGGTGGTTGATTGTACGATAGGTGTCGGGTGCTTTTTTCCGTGTCTGAAGACTACAGCAGTACCGGTAAGTCGATATGATACGATTGTTTCCATATTTGGGGGTCAGGTTGCAAGTGAATTTCCGTGTCAGGACAAATAAAAATGGAGGGAGAAACTAACATGAGAGACCTACGTGACACTGATTAGTTTCACATTGTCGAGAAGAGCGAGTGGGTGCCCAGACAACGCGACAGACCGGATGCCCTCCACGTTCCCAAGGGAGGAGTTTGAACCGTTATCATCTCACGCTGCTGGGCGGACCATGTACCTCTATCGAAGTTGTTTGTACCAGGTATTATATCATGCGGGACAGCAGCGCGGAGGCGTCGACCATGTCTGTGTGTACATGTAGCTACAGAATAGTCCGTTCCAGTCCCGCAACTTCCTATCAATTCCTTACGCCATTGATTGAATATGGTCCCTCATAGATGCGAACGCATGAAGTTACTGTGATGTGTTCCATCATATCCATAGGAAATTGATCCTCGTCTACGGCGGTAGCATGCGACTGCAGGCTCACATGTATTTCCACCTCTGACTTCATTGTTATTTTGTTCTAGGTGCCTGAGGTTGCGCTTCACCCGAGAGTCATTCGCACCGATCGGTTTATCACATACTTGCTGGAATATACACCGCACGAATCACATCCTTCCGCTGAGTGTTTGCTGACAGATCAACGGAACAGCATGGTGATTTCCTGTGCTCGGCAGAACGGCGTGGACAGGCCATGACCGATCTGAATGAACATGATGATCTGGACGACCCGCACCACCAGCTGAAATTTTTGCGCGTGGTGTTTGCCCACAGGAACCACTCAGAATACGTTCCAAACAGGCAAAGGGCCGAGGGGAACAGTTCAGAGACAGAGGTATCAGAGACTGACTACTCGGTAGTATCTCCAACCGGCTCTCTCTGTTCAATTATATAGCGATGATCCACGGGGTATGTAGATCAAGAGACGCACGATCGGGGGCCCTGAAGTATGTATTGGGGGACGGGGTATGTGTGGAAGATGTCGACCAGATCTCCGGAGAAGATTCACCGACAGCATCGCCCACTACCAACAGGCAGTTGAACGAGGAACGGTGATAGACGCTACTCAAGCTTCGTGACTGCCCACAGCGTCTTCATGTTGACTGGTGCAGGTCTATGTAGGCAAAGCCGGAGGTGAGAGAGAAGGTTGCTGGTTGTCTAACAAAGCAAAAGCCTCTGTTGTTGCACCTGGTGAACTGGTCTACTGTATGCATCTGTTGTCGACAACGCTCAGCAGCAACGCAGGAACTTCGCCCTCCCCGTGCCACACGTAACTTCACTAGCTCCTTCTCCCTCCGTTTTTGGCCTTCGTAAGGCTCGTGGGCCGTGTGCACGACAATGGCCCCTCGCTAGCAGCACTAGCAATAGCAGCAAACCGGTTGGCACGCCATGACGGTAGTAGCGACAGCAGCAAGAGGACCTGTCGTGGGGACCTGAGGCCGCCACAGCACCTACTGCAGGCGCAAACGTTGCACGTTCCGGCACTGCAGCAGCGGGGCCACAGGAGTAGTAGCATCACCAGGCTTGGAGGAGACGGTGGCACAATTGGAGTTGCTGCTTTCGGTGGGGGGCGCGGTCTAGACTTAGCAGCCTGGAGAGGAGCGGCGGCGGCAGGCGGGACGGTTGGGGCTCGACGGAGCTTTGGGGGGTGAGTTGTGGGGGGAACCAAGGTTGGGATGTCACTGCATACATTCCTGCTGTGCATGGTATGTACAGGAGGTGGTCTCTGCTCCCATTTGGGATCACTCAGGCAGCATCCGAGTGTGGTGCATTGGTCAGACTGCTCGAACTGTGCCTTCTTTGAGCTCTTCACGTTTCAATTCGACATCTGAAGAGCAGTATAACAGCGACATCTGGGGAGGCAGGACACTACAGCAGCTACAGCAGTACAGGCCTGGCCGCATCTACGCCAGTCGGTGCCTTATACAGCAGCACCGTTGACTGATAAGCCCACACGGCTGCTCGATACTGTCCTTCTACAGTAGTAGCATGTAGTCCATCTTACATAGATTATCTAGGAAAGCTCCGCTCAAAGGGAATAAAATCAAATCAACGTACATGTAGGGCGCGGTCTTGCTATGAAGCGGTCTCCATGTACATGTTGCCTATGGGCAGCGTGTGGCCTCTCCATTGGGTTGTTGGGGGCATGCTTAGCACGTCAGGTTTGCGAAGAATACATGTGCCAACGGGGTTCAAAGAAGATTGACCTTTTTGTGGTATGGTGTTCACAACCCGATGCCATATGGGACTACTATGCACCCAATTGGACACGTTCTCATGTTGGCTTTTTCGACCTCCAATCGCATTAATATGCCGCAATCAGCAGTCACGGAATGTAGCCGTCGGACGAAACCGCTTGTTGGGGGGGGGGTGTACTCATAGTCGCGCATGCCGTAGTCGTTAGACCATTGACCTCGCATCCCTACAAAGCCGGGACGGAGTACGCCGGGTTCTCACCGGACCAGGCTCTCACATCACCAAGCGCGAAGCGCCGTGAGGTATTCGGCAAGTCGCATGAAGGGTGCGCTGCATCCTGCTAAGGGTGTTCGGCATCTTGTGCTTACTTCCTTGCGTACGAATGACAGCTGCGTATGACTTAATTAATTTTCTGGTGCTTTCACTTCCAGATACACTTGTAAGCACTGTGTAACTGCCTCGAGGGTGCTTGACCATTTTAACACAACGTGGTGCGATCATCTACCTTGCGCGGAGTGAGGTTTCTCCACCCCGCACAACACGATCCACTCGACCACCATTATGGGTACCGCCAAAAAAGGAAACAGAGGTAAAAAAAAAACGGTAACCTGGTTGCCGAGCTCAAGAAGTGAATTGGCTTGTTTTACAACGTCGTTGCCAAGCGACGAAAACCCAATCCCGATGNGACGAAAACCCAACCCCGATGACAAACACCGGGGGGGGCGGCTTGTTTAACAACGTCGTTGCCAAGCGACGAAAGCCCAACCCCGATGGTAAACGCCGGGGGCAAAACCCTTGTTGGGGACGATATTAACGCTTGGTGCCTCTCTCGGGGGTCAAGCCGGGGCTGCAGTTGAGCCTCTCTCGGAACATCATGCCATCCCATGCGCTGTTGTGCCTACCTGCGCGATTGTTTCGGCACTCGTGAATTCACCAAGACCATTAACCCAGTTCTGCACCCTAGGAATAAGGATACTCTATAGCCACGACGGCGCTCGCTGAAGGAGAGGAACTTCCCGCACGGGGTGCCTGAATGAATCATGATACCAGTTGCAAACATCATGAAGGTTAAGGTTGCCGTCTCGAGCCAGGACTCATGCACTCTATCCTAGGAAGAATTACATTCTACCCAAGATCTGGTTCCGAACCAAGCGTTTTACGCTGTCGCCATGATAGATCAGTAGCTGAATACCACTCCATCCGTCGCAGCAGACATAGCAGGGACTAAATAACGGCTTGGGTCGGATCCAGGCTTGGCCTACGATGCGAACTTGGCCGATCACGCAGATTCAGATTCTGAAAGAGAGATGGCACCCCTAGCAGCAAAGCACTGAGTGTGGCGATCGACAAGCATCTCTTTGATGTTGTGCTGTGCCAAACCGCAGCTTCGCTGACCACGGGAAGATGTAAATGCAAGGCGACCACCATGGGTTGTGACTTCTCGTTCGAAAACAAGCACTTGTGCCTGCCGATGCTCCAGATGCTGCAATACGCCGGCTCTCGCTTCCGTGTCGAGATGTACACCTCAACACACTCTGGGTTCAGCTTGCAGCAGAGATTTCCCAGCGGCGAGGTCGCTGGAGTCTTGACAACCTTTAACGTAACCGTGTTTGTCGTTCAATAGGCGGAGCGGTGATGGCTTCCGGGCAGGAAGCAACGGCAACAGCAACGGCAGCGGCAGCGGCAGCGGCAGCGGCCGCGAGGACAGCGCTGGTTTTCCTGAGACGGGAGGAGCTGCCGACGGTGTGTGCTTCTTTGTCTGTCGCTCCGTGTCCTCCCTGCTTGCTGATTGGCTAGGTGTCTATCGTCCTGACAACCCCGTGTTGCCACCGGACGATAAGACATTGATTCTTCATTGCACATGTTGCGTACACGGAGGAAGTTGAATACTCGTACGGGCACGTGCGCAGCGTACCTCGTGGTGTCACATGTTTCACCTCAGCCGTGATCGCTAACAAGTGGCATGTAAGCACAGCATCGGCACGTTCCAGGTGTTGCAGGCTTTCCTTTTTCCAAACTACTGTCGTCCTTCCTTCAACACTAGCCGACTCGTTGATTGTGTGTTTTTTTTTTGTCTTCACTTCAAATCAGCGCTCACAGCACTAGTGCCGTTCACTCCAACCCGTGGTCACACAGAAGAGCCCCTCTCTACCCTCCCCTCCTGCAGTACTTTGCCTTCGAATTTTAATGCGAGAAGAGTTCAGCACTCTCTTCCCTCTGTGTACACACGAACGAGCGCTATCCACTAGGCCAGGAGCGGAAGCGAGAGAAAAACTCACGTTGCAAGAAAAGCTCGCTTACGCCGGGATACTAACTAGACCACCGGGGCGACCGGTCGGTATTGAATGCATGCCCATCAATCACCTGACTTAAAACACGGCAACGTGATTTTCGCTCATGAAGAGTTCGTCCGTATAACATCTTTCTCCCCTTCCCCTGTACAATATGTGCCGTTTTTTTTCCACGTGCCAACCCCACCCCGCAGCGGACGGGTGGTCCGCACCCCCGGACGCGTGGATGCCTGACGAGCCCCCCGCGGAGATACCGCAAGACGCCTCCATGCCGGGTTTTGACGCCGGGGAAGGCTTTTCTGTTGACTCGGCTGCCGCGGCGTTGGACGCTGTGGCAGGGGCGGCGCCGGACGCTTCCGCGATTGGCACGGCCATGACCGCCACGGGACTGTCCGCCGCGGACCTCGGCATGTACCCCCACCACCTCTTCATGCACATGATCGAGTGAGTTTTGTTTGATTTTATTTCATGTCATTTGTTTGTTGTTGTATCCGTCCCTCTGCGGGCGGGTGCCCGTTTTGTGGTGCACACGCCGCCGCCGTTCTTGAAGTGGAAGTATCCACCTTCGGCAAGCCCTTGGCATGTTGTGGGCATGGCCGTGTGGTGAGAGTCGCGCTCACTGCCGTATGCAACGAAGGTCTGAAGGGAATCTACTGCAGCAGATATAGCCTCACCGAGGTTTCAATTGTCCACCCTTGTAGCTGCGGTATCATGTGGATCATGTGGGGGATAGCCCGGTGGTGCACCCTCCGGGCTTGCGTTGCGTTGTTTGCGTTCATTTCGACCGCATGGCTGAGCTCGTTGAACCCCGTTGCACGTATCGCCCCCCTTCCATCTCCACTGAAGCACGGCAATAGCCCAATGAACGCGCGTACCATCGAGGTTTCATCTGCTCTCGATCCCGCTCCGTTGTCCCGCACTCCTGCTGACGAACGGTTGTGTATCTCTTGCCGCCGTTTTTTTTTGTCGTCCTCGCACATGGTACCGTAGTTACGTCCAAGCGACCGCCGGTGTGCCCTACTGGGAGGCGATCGTGATGGTCTCCGTTGCCGCTAGGATAGTGGTGCTGCCGGCCGTGGCAACTTTTGTGAGCTAAGAACGATTGTTTGTGTCGTTGGTTTGGGGTACGACAGAAGAAGCCCGCCAAGAACACGGGTATAGACGGTGGGAGGGGTTGATACAACGACGCAGAGGGAACAGCAGGCAGTACACGAAGCATGCTTCGGGTAGTAAGAGTTGAGTTGGGGGATGCTCACGAGGGGGTGTTGCAGAAGGTACAGGACATGCGGAGGCGTCGGCGGTGGCGGCTAGCTTCTGCAATCGAAGTTCTGTGTCCATGCACGGTGGCTCAAGCTGCGTCTGGAGCACACCCACGGCTGTACAGTAGCGCGAGCGGGCGGCCCTGCACCTGGCTGGCGTGACGTACTCGACCATCTTGCCCTCAACATTGCACTTTGGATGCCCCTGCATTTACCAAGTTCCACAGAACACTTCGCAGAAAGCGGCCTGTTTGCCGTCAGCGTCACGCCATGCCGACCAACTAGTTCCCCGCGGCTGTTGATCTTTCTATATCGTGCTACGTTATGGTTACGAATTTGGGGGTCTACGCTTGTGCATCGCCTGGCACGGGCAAAATTGGTGGGCATGGTACGTTGTTGATAGCGCACGTTGTTTGGTCCGTTTTTTTTCGTCTCGAGCTTCCCCTTCTTGCCATCCTCGACTTGACTGCTTTCGTCATGCATCTTTTGGTGATCTTGGTGGCTTTGTTTCTTTCTTGAACTAGCTCGGCATGTCCAAGCGCCTGAACATGATCAAGCCGGAAATGGCGGTGCATCAAGGAAAGATGCAGGACATCAAGAACAGGGTGAGTGTAAGACGTAGCACTGCATTCTGAGACCGTTAAACCTTGGGCGTATTGGTCGTCTTGTGCTTGTGCCTTCTACAGCAGTGCGGCGCATGTCAGACTGCTGTGCCTCGAGAGCTCCAGAAGGAACAGGTAGCTTCGAGAACACGGGACCCATAATATTTGTAACGATCGACCGCTGAGGCTGGTTATGACCAATACCACGACAAGATTTTCTTCCGCACAAAAAGTTCCGAGGGCAATCTTTGCTTGCCATCCGCACCATGGATGACCATCATTGACCGATATCCTCCGCGGACCTGGTCTGGTCAACTTTGTAGTTGCTCTAATCTTGGTGGGTGGTGGGACTGTGGGAGTCGCGATTGCCGGTACCTTTGTTGCCTGCTGAGGGAGGACTAAAGGGGTTGACACGAAGCGAGTGCGTACACGACAGGTCGCAGTAGGGAAAATGTTTGAAGGGCACCCGCGGTGGGTTGTTTGTGGACGGTCCATGATTACTCGTTGCCCCCGTAGCTCGAATTTCTTCTCGTGAAGCAGCCGGCGTCGCTACCCTCAACAGCGCCCACGACATCCCAAGAGGTTGCAGGCTGCGTGTGTACAGGTCTTGCGAGCCTATACATTAGTTTGCTGCTGCCTTTGCATCGCCTACCGTATGGCTCACGTGTCGTGTCTCTCTTGCTCTTGACTTGTCGCACGCCTCTCTCCTGAATCGAAACCCAGATGGAGGCCAACCCGGAGGTTAAGGAAGCCGCGATGGCGGAGATGATGCTCGTTTCGCAGGAGATGGGGAACCTGCTCAAGCAACACAGGATCCACTTCCCCAAGATGATGCTGTCCATGTTTGCGCAGTTCCCGGTGTTCATCTCGCTCTTCCTCGCCACTAGAGATGTGAGACATGCGATGGTTCGTGTATCGCCATTGTCGTTGTCAATGTTTTATCTCACGGTGTTCTTTCACTGTACAGCCGTATGGCAGTAGTACGATTTGATTGGTCGAGTGTTGGTTGGCTGACTTGGGCTGTTTCGAGCTTGTGATATCATATTCATCGATGGGTTGATGCCGGATGGATTGACGTTAATTTGGTTCGGGTGGCTGGCAGCCCGTCCACCTCAAGCCAAGACAACTTCCAGTTCATGACGAAACGCCTGTGATAGTCCTCCCTGGAGACGAGAGAAGGAAAACGACAAGTAGACGCCGGGCGCCTGTGGTACAAGGTGATATTCTACAGTAGCTCTTGTGGCGCTTGGTTTGGTGTTATCCTTTCTATGGCCATGTTTAGCCGTGCATGGGCGTGCGATCGTTCATCTCTTCCTTTCGTTCCCGCGTCGCCTGGTACTCCCAAACGCATGCGGGGGAACCGTTTTTGCTTCTTTTTCCGTTTGTTCTTCCCGTTCGGCACCCCTATTATACAGATGGGAATGTACTTCCCTGGCTACATGACAGGGGGCTTGGACTGGATGGTGAACTTGAGCGCGCCTGATCCCACATGGACGCTGCCCATTCTCACGTCCGGATCGATGATCGTGAGTCGAGCCGTGCCTCTATTATTGTATAAGCTTTGAGTTTTTTTTTTGGCGCACGTCGCAGGGCCTAGTTGACCCCGTTTGTACACCTAGTTACCTCCCGTCATGAGTTACAGTGAGTGATCTAAGGTTTCATCGACACGGTTCTCGCTTCCACCAACCGCTGCCAATAACCCATGGAGGAAAAATAAACGCGATTATGCTGGCGCTTTTTCCGTGCAGCGTGAAGAGGGCATGAGGGTATGTACTGCCGGCACAAGCCGCGATGCTTGTTGTACCGTGGTATGCAAGGCGTTGGGTAGTCAGTTGCTGCAAGGAGCGCCTGCACGCCTCCGTGGAAAGTCTGCAATAGGTTGCTGGCTGTACCTTTTCGTTCGCGTACAATCGTTGGTATGTGTATGACAACGTCTGACCTGACATCCAACCGAAAGGAATACCATGCGGTTGCTTCTTTCCCAATGCTCGGTGCTCGATAAACACACGTCGCTGTATTCTCACCACCTACCGCGCCTCTTGTTTTCTCTTGTCTGTCTGTCTGTCTGTCTGTCTGTCTGTCTGTCTGTCTGTCTGCCTGCCTGTCTGTCTGTCTGTTATTCTGTCTCTCTGTCTCTGTCTCTGTCTCTGTCTCTGTCTCTCTGTCTCTGTCTCTCTGTCTCTGTCTCTGTCTCTGTCTCTGTCTCTGTCTCTGTCTCTGTCTCTGTCTCTGTCTCTGTGTCTCTCTCTCTCTCTCTGATTCAAAATTCCGCAAACATGGCACCTACCGCAGCTCCTGATGGAACTGGGGTCCGACATGCCGGCCGCCCATGGCCCAGACAAGCCCAACTTCAACCCCAAGGTCATGTTCCGGGTGATGAGCATCGTCTTCGTGCCGGTGGCCTTCAGTATGCCCGCCGGTGTTCTCGTCTATTGGACGACCACAAACGTCTTCGGCATGCTGCAGCGGGGGCTGTTCGAGATGCGGCCGGTGCAGCAGGCCCTGGGGTGGCCGCTGCCCGAGGACATGCCGGCGCCCGCGGCTCCAGCCGACAAGAAGGTGCGTGGAGGGATGGCGATGAAAGGAAGTGCACTGATGACTTTCGAATTTTGTTTTTTCTCCTGGGGGTAAGAGCGGATGGTGACACGTGGTTCGGAATCCGGGTGAGGACTCTGGTGGCAAGGTTGTGGTTCGCGTATACACACGAGGAGTCTTTTTTCGCCTTTATGTGTTGTTTTCGGCTTTGCTTGTTGAATATCTGAGTGCGACATTATGCCATCTCTAGCGCGATCACTTTTGGCCTCTTGGCTGCTTGCAGCGTCTACGAACACAGTCATACGGTCTTATTCCTTCTGCCGTGAACAGCTTCGAACCGAGGTCACACAGAAGGATTCATTCCTACGCGGCGATCGAGTCCTTTTTTTCCGGAGAGCTTCAGCTGGTGCACCCTTTTAAAGCACCGCACCCACGAAATCACGAAATTTCAAGCTTTTTTATACCTCCACCTTCTTGTGTTAGTCTGGAGCACACAACGCTTATCTCTCCTGTGCTGGTCCTAACAGTAGATGGTTGTGTGTGTCGGAGAGATCCAGGAATTTGTGTTCTCTCGTCTGCGTTCGCTGACGCCCGGAGTGTACTGTTGTAGCGTCACTGACGGAAATGGATATCTTGGTTTTTGACCACCGGTAGGGTTGACATTGGCGTGGCCTATTTGTTGCATTGGCATGTAATGACGGCAACGTCAAGATCCTTCAACAGTAATGAAACCGACATCAACCAACTCGAAGCTCGTTGTTTTTTCGCAGGAACCTGCCGAGGCTGACTTCGCGAGCAAGGAGGACTTGGAGAGGTGGGGGGGTGGGGGGAAGGGGGCCTCTGGCGAGGCATCTAGGGCGGCAGCGGAGGCCGCGGAGCGGGCGAGAGAGGCTGTTGCAAAAGCTTCCAAGGTGGGTCAGGGGCATATTACGTTGGTCTCGATCCCGCTGGTTGCTGCTGTGCTCTATGGCTGCAATTCTTTTTTTGGCTTGGTTGTATTCTTTCGCACTTCGTCGAATTTTGTCTGTTGCCAAGATGGCCACGTGGTGTTCTATTGTAGCTCCGTCGGTGAGCTGCGACGTTTGCGTGATTGTTAGCTAGATGGCTATTGTTGTGGGTGGGCAACTATCGGTGCCTTCGAAGAGCGAAACGTCTTGACTACTTTTAGTATATATGCCCAGTCTCTTCTCGTCCCTGAAGGGACATGACGACTATATGTGTTCGCAATACCACCCAAGAACGGCATAGAACACGGTGAACACAGATTCAAGCCCTGGAGTAACTCAAAGCACTCGTCAACAGCGTCGAGTTCCAATGATGACAAATCTAGAGAGACAACAAACAGATTCAGCGAGGACAGTCCCAACAGCATTGAACGGGACAGAGCTCGTAGTTGTGAACGGTATTTGCAGAGACCCAAGTGCTACAACAGGACGCGACCCGAACATGCCGTATGGCCATTGTTGTATATCGCTTCACGTTGTATCCTTTTTTCGTTTTTGCTTGAAGGTTCGACACGAGGAGCTCAAGCGGCAGCATGGGGAGCGAAATAGGGAGGACGGCCCGAAGTAAGCACCGCCACTAGGCATTATTCAGTAGTGTGCGGCACGACTCACGAACCTGAGAGCTAGACTAGAAAGAAGTTCAGGCTCGAAATATGACAAGTTTGTGAACTCTACCTTCGGAACAGGTGCTCAGTGGAGAATACTAAAACTAATATAGGCGATGTTGGGGTACCCGCCGAGGCAAAAAGGGAACGAGCCTCTTTTCGAAGTATGAGGTTCTGACATGCGCTGGTGGCACGTACACGTGCTGAAAGTGGAACAAGAGAAGAGCCGCCCCGCGTTTTGGGCGTAGTTACTGCAGCACGAGAACGCTGTCCCTTCCTTTTGGATGTGTATGATTTGGCAGAGTGAACCTGTCGAGGTCCGTAGCGTGCGGAGGGTAGCTGGGGGTGGCCGAGAGTGAAATGATAGACATGAGCGTTTCTCAGCGCCAGATCGAGCGAATGGGAGTGAATGTTGTCTTTGTTGTCATCGTCCCCGATTGATGGTTCGACTATCGATACCTCCGGATGCCCCTGTCTGTCTTTCTTTCCAGCCGTGCGGGTCGTGGACGGTTCAGAGAAGGCTGTGTGTCTCGACTGCCTGAGTCGGGGCCGCGTATGGGGAGCGTGGGTAGCACCGAAGCGTTTTTCGACCCAAAGATCATGTCTATTTCCCAAAAATGGTGGTGGTTGCGACTCTGGCTCTTGGTGACGCATGTTTGTCAAGTTTGTGAAGTCATAGCATACTTCGAGAAGAACTCCCAAAACGAACAGTATGTACGCGGGTGCTTCGTTCGTTCTTACTACTTCGAGGAATATTGGGCCCGGTACAAAACCGTGGCTGGGTTGTTCAACTGTTTACTTCAGCATCGCCAGAACACTACATCCGCCTTACCTCTACTTTGGCTGTGTCTTCGATTATCTCCAGAGTGAAATGTCTCTCATTCCCTAGAAGTGAAGTGTGCACATGCTGCTCCCTCTCACTTCGATTTCGAAGGCCAGTACCGCAAGGCAAGGCGAACAATTCCTCCGTTGTGATCCCAGCTGGTTCTCCAAGCATTGCATACCAAGGGCCTCGCTGAGGTCGCTGCAAGCCGTGAACGATCAAGATAAAACAGTGTGTCCTGTCCATTACCGACGAAAACTCCCAAACCACGCGATTGGCGATCCGAGCACCAGCGCCGCGAGCAGCTATACATACCATCGCCCGCCTGGCCCGAGTGCCCCCGGCAGCAAGTTTGAGCTCAGTCGGTTCATTGCGTTCGCGTGCTGCTGTTGTTGAACCCGATAGCCAGAAGCACACCCTCGTCAGAGTCTCTCGCCGGAAACCTCGATCGTGGTTTTCATCGTTTGTGTTCTCTTCAGTGATTTGGCACAAATTGCTGCAGAATATATTTACGAATGACAGAACGGCGAACGTTACTACAGCATGTTGTAAACGGTCAACAAGTTCTCACGGCCGCCCCTCAGAGTTGAATTGTGCAAGTGCACCGCCGGGAGGCCTGCCGGTTGCTCGGTGATTCTCTATCCCGGCAAAACTTGAGCGATTCTCCAAACCTCATCTCAAGCGTCTTGAGTTGAACCCGTGTGACATCTCGCTGACTTCGTTCGTTGAGTGACACACTGACCTGCATCTTCCTTGAAACAGCAACCGATTATTGCCGGTTGTCGCGCGGTTAGGCCCGTTGGTCCCAACTGGTACGCCCGATTTCAACGTGAAACAAAGGAACTCCACTTGCCGAACCGAGATTTATGAATCTTCGACCCGAAAGTAAAGCGGCGCGACTTGTATAGTGTGTCGCGCCGCATGCCTGAAGGCATCCTCCGTGCGTTTCATTGAACTTCCCGACACCGTCCAAAAAAAACTCTTGAACAAGTTCGTTCGGGGTCATCCAAACTCCCTCCCAATGGAGAGATGAAGCAACGCAAAGTCCACGAACTCCGACCGTAGTCCAGATGAAGATATGACATGCCATACTCCGAATCTATCGCACGGCAGCGCACGAACTTCGAGATGACTTCACTAAAATAAGGCCAACGCCGATGATGGTGAGAGTCAAGGCGGCCATTCCAGGCCACCGCGGGGTGTAGCAAAGCTGAGTGGTTCACTCCCCTGCCCTATCTATTTGATCTGCATGGGTTGCGTGTACTCTCCTGACGTTCGTGTGTGGCGGTGGTGGGGGTGGACACGCCAAAAAACGCCAAAAATGTTGCGTCCACCGCAACTCCACCACACGCCCCGCCCAACTCCAGCCGTGTGAGGGACCCGTGATATCGACGGCTGCTGGAACTTGCAAACCACGACAGCAACAGCGAGGCAAACCGTGTACAGTGATGCATGTGCGACATTCACAAGAAATACACTCGATGTTCGCACTTTAATCGGGCCCGCTAACCGTAAATGATGCCACCCGATAGAAGTCGCACGAGCGGGAAAGATTCGCGATGTCGGCTTGAACCAGAGCACGCGTACAAGCCGATGCGCTAGTAGTGCTCATTACGAGCGAAAACATCTTTGCACTTTCCATCGTAGAAACTCTTCGGCAATCGATACGGTCGCCCCGGTGGTCTAGTGGTATCCTCGTAATCCGCTAGTCGCAGAGGTAGTGAGTTCATCATCCCCATGGAGTGAAAAATTTACGAAATGTGCGGGTGAAAGCGAAATATAGCTGACAAGCTCTCGTGAGTACCAAACTTCGACGTGAGCCCCGTTGACGAGGGAAAGGGACAGCTGGACCCTTCTCGCGATAAAAATAAATTTCAGCACGCACCGCAAGAGGAAGGTGGGGCATGAAAAGAAATAACAAGAAGAAAAAAGCCCTGGTGTTTACCCCTCTTCCTGTGTTGGCCCTGGATGGTTGAAGTTGTACGAAAAAATACACTGAAAAGTGTAGTACTCTTCATATGCTACGCTGAAAAGTGTAGTACACGTCTCACCACGAAAGATGGGGGGACTGTCGCCATAATAAAAAGGACGAAAACACACATACAACACCCGACATACGCGCCTCTCCTACGTTCGCATGGCGTGAGTTAGACGATTGGCTCCGACGCTCACGCCATCGACCATGTTCTCTAGCGCGTTTTCTCCATGCCCAGGCTTGCACAACAGACGGCAATGGTGAAAATGAACGGCGAGTGAATATGTTGCGATCACACTTGACACTCAACGAAAGCCGTGATGTCCCTAGCCAGACTGCCGGAAACGACGTGCTACAACAGGCAGATCCACAACACGGGACAAATCCCTACCGACAGCTGCTTCTGTATCCAAATTTAGGCCATGCCCTACCGAAAACTGCTCTTGTTAAGAACACATACAATGAAGGAAAAACCCTAGCATACCAACCGCTACTGCCGTCTCCGACGCTGAAGAAGAAGCCCTATCAACAGCAATTTTGTATTCAACACTCGAGCCAACCCCTACAATTAGCCGCCTGCGTGGGTCACAAGACCTAACGACGCATCTTCGCCAGGAGCTTCTGCTTCGCCGTGAGCGGTTTCTTTTCCTTCGGCTTCGGGGGCACCTGCATAAATCCAAGCAGAGCCGCCGGCGCAAGGAGGGAGGGCATACCGTATATGACACAAGATAACACAACCCCTCGACCAATTTTCAAAGCTCGATAATGAGACAACGAAGAGGATGCATAAATGAAACAATACATTTTCGGAAAGCTCTAGACGAGACAGCTTCAACTCCACCGTTTTCCGCGCTGTAACTGGCTTTCTGCTGTCGAGAAATCGAGATTTGAAAATCGGTTCAGGGGGTGTGTTATCTTGTGTCATCTACGGTAGAGGGGATCAACTTGATAGGGCCAAGAAATGCTTGCGCTGGAGCAAAAATGATAATAGATTCTGGATTTTCGGTGCGATTCTGTTTGCGTCTTGCAGAGAGTACCACGGAGAGCTACCATTGGCTACTCGCAAAAAGCAGTGCTACATGTATCGATCCACCACCTAAATCCTTCACTCGTTCGGATATCAGCCTGCGCTTGTCCAGCAATCAGTCTAGATGTCGAGCCGACGCAGGTTCGCGAAAAGGAAGTCCAGTTTCCACCGCCCGCTCGAGTGCCTGGGGCAAGGCGCTTGACTTCTCGGTGCGGATTCCCACTGGTACTCGCCAAGCCTCACCTGAAACCTCGATATTCGACATCAACCCATCCTGAGCGTGTATTTTTTCCCTGTAAGCGTACCTTCGACGGTGGCGCGATCTTGAACATCCCCTTGCTCCTCAGCGCCTCCTGCTTCGTCACCGACAGCCTTCGCTGCACGCCGCCGATCACCGCCACGCCCACCTTCCCTCTCACCCCGGCCGCACTACTCCCTGCCGCTCGCGCCCCGCCTCCGGCACCGGTGCCGAAGCCACTCCAAGCGTTACGCGGGCGCGCGCCGCCTACTCCAGAGGACGATTTCCCCTTTTTTGTTTCTCGTGGGAGTTCGTCGGCGTAGATCTTATGATCTTCTGGAAGAACGTCGTCCTGTCCAGCACCGGGTTATTGGTTTGGTTTGGTGTCCCAGTTTCCAACAATCGTCATCACAAGCATTCCTACACCCAATTCGGTCGTGAGCTAAGTAACTCGTGGACACCCAGGGGGCTAGGTTTCAGATCTATTAATCAATGAACTTGTTGGCGGGAGAAAAAATACCGCCGATGTTCATCGTCAGTTTTACTGCTGTATCTGCACCTTTCGAAGCGTCATTGCTGGGTAGAACCATGGTCGACAAAGCTTGATGACAGTTTTCTCATGTGCTGAACAGATAACACGGCACACTTGCACAACCGGAGCATCTTGTTCGCCGCGACTTCCACCCCGCAAGAAATGAAAATGCATGGGGGAAAAAAAACTCAACAAAACTTGCGTTGGCAAGGAATAAAACGGAGATGGACACGAGACACCACCAAAAGAAAAGGCCATAATCGTAGAGCTTCGCTTCGGGTGCCAGCGAGAAGGCCTCGACTTTCGTCCCAAAATGGGGCTCTCTCCACGAGCACGAGCTCGAGTCCATCAACTCAACACGGCCCACGCTTCGCTCTCCCACCCCAAGGTTAGTCGTTTTGAATTTCATGGGACACGCTTTCGACAACAGGGTTGGCTCACTCCACGCCATCGATACCGAGCCGATGCTAACGGCCAGGAGGACTCACATCAGCATCGTCCGGCTTGTACTCGTCCGCCGAGTTGTCGTCCTCCGAGTCCCCCGCCGCCGCGTCATCCCCAAGCCTGGCGATCGCTCTCAGCCTGCTACCGAGCGGCCTCGCCTTTCGCTTGCCCCCCCTGCCGACGCGTGTATCTTCGCCGCTGTCCTCCTCCTCCTCCTCCTCCTCTTCATCGCTGTCGTGTCTCGTCTCGAACTCGTCCGAGCCATCGGAGTCCTCTTTCCATCGTCTCTCCTCCCGCTGCTGCTGCTGCTGCTGCTGCTGCTGCTGCTGCTGCTGCTGTCTCCCTCGCTTCTTCCCAGCGCTTACCCCGCCCCCACCCCCCCTTTTCCTACCTCGCCCGACACCGGCGGAGCCCCCTGATGAATCCGCGGAGCCCCCTCCGGAAGAAAGCGCGGGACCTTTCAAGACCAACTTAAGCCCCACCCCCCGGGCCTTGCCGCCGCCGCTCCCACTCGCACCATCGCGGCTGCTGCTCGAGGCCCGCGGAGACGAAGAGGAAGATGACGACTGGTCCTGCTGCGGCTTGATCGAGAGCTTGAGCTTCGGGATAGAATACGAAGACGCCGCCGCCGCCGCCGCCGCAGCGGCGTCTTCGGGGGTTGGGTAACCCCTCCCGGGCACCCGGACCCTGGGCCCATCACCCTCCCCTTCACCGCCACAAGACCCTTCTGGAGGGGTGGCCGTCGAGCTCGGGGGGATGGGCGGCGCTGACGCCACCTGCGCGCCCCCCCGGCCCACGTCAGCCTCGGGGGGCTCTGTGGCCGCCGCCGCCAGTAGAAGCGCTGCCGCTCCGCTCCCGCTACCAGGGTCCACGTGATCTCCGTCATCTGTCGCACCGCTGCGGTCGACAGAGCCGTCGCTTGAGATCTCGGGGCTGCTGTCGGCACCACCGATCGCGCGGGGGTTACCATCCGGCGGGATGTCGACCTCCGCTGCCTTTCCAGCCAAAGGGGAAGAGTCAGCAGTGGCCTTGGTATCGATGGTTGTCTTAAAAAGGTGGGACAAAATGGGGACCACGTGGCGAAGGGGACAAAGGGAGAAAAGCCAGAGTTACTCTCAGACCCGTGACCAGACAGGTTGGGCACCCAGGCCATGCCGGCGACAATAAAAGCGGGACACGTGGCACGGACGATGGCTACTCTCTCACCAAGAAGCCGTAGTGGAACGTGCTACACCTACAACACCACAACCGAAACATTTCGCGCAGAAACCTGCCCCCCCCAATCTCTCTCCGGAAAACCCACGCCATCACATTCCATGTGCTGGCGTCACTACATACGGTACCTCTTCTCCCAGGGCGGAGACACGACGATCAAGTTCCGCGAGCATGGCGTTGACGTCCGAACATCCCGCAGAAGCGGCGGCGAGGTTCCACTCTTCCGGTACGCCTTCCTCCTCACTGCTGCCGCCCTCTTCTTCCTCCTGTTCCTTCATCCATGCCCGGCACGCCTGTAACCAACGAGCCGAACAGTTGAGTTGATGCCATGTTTCCTTGACAAATAACAACCCTCAGGCCAGGTGCCAACCTCGATCGATGGCTGGGCGTGCGGCAGAGTACGGTTGAGTGAAAACATTCCACTAATCCGCCTTCTATTCTTGAATATAAAACTTAGAAATCCAAAAAGATTAAAAAAAAAAATGCTGAAACAAAACACCACCAAAAACACCAAGAGTAGCTTCAAAACAACTCCAAAAGGCGGAATACCCGCTAGATCGAATATCAAGTGCAGCTTTGTAAATGATGACATAGTGATAGCTCTCGGTGCTTCCTCGGCGTACTCGCCGCAGAGGTACACAGACATCCATCACCCATATCGCCGACCCCCCCCCCAAGGCGGCCTTACATGTGTTGCCCAATACCTCCGTTTGGTGCGCTTTACGAAATATATTCCCGGCACCTCTCTTCCCGATGTATACAACATGCCCGTTGCTCTGGTCACAGAGGCCCCTAGACGCCACCGTAAATCATGCCGTGCACGAGCTCCTTCGATACATTGCCGGTCCAAAGCTCTTACCAACAGCGGAAAGATAGACCAAACGAAAAGGTACGCAAACAAAGGAGACAAACAAATACAGCCACCACCACCCTCACCTCCACAAGCGGTCTCAATCCTTCCCTCTCCCACGAACTCAGCGAAATTCGGGCCCCGTTCTGAGCGCCGTTGCCGACACAACCATTCTTCCGCTCGGCGGTCCCTGTCGCGCCGCTGGTCTCCTCCGCCCCGTGTATCTGTTCACGTACCAGCCCTGCCGCGGAACTGTCTTCATCTGGCGTCGCCCACACTTCACTGCGAGGGACATTGGCAACGCCTTTGGCGCCCTTCGCACCAGTTGCGTCTAGGTCTCCCTGAGAGTGATCGAGTGAAAGTGAAAAGCGGTCGAGTGAACAGCACAACTGAGATGGTTGGTGGCCGCAAAAACGTAGCAGAGCCACCGGCACGGAGTGAATGAATGAAAGACCTACAACGAACTACCATGGTATTCAAGTAGCCAACCGTGCAAGAAGTACCACAGACAGCCGAACACAGTGAAGAGTGAATAGATCGGCAGATTGGAGTGATGAGTAAATGCAGATCAGATTCTGAAGTTCAAGTAGGCTTTTGTTTAAGAATAAGTGAGACAAGCGCATGCAAGTGAAACAGTGAACCCGCTCGCCTCCCGTAAGTGAATGTGTGAGCAAACAAGTGAGTGAGAAAAGTGAGTGGGTGAGTGAGTAGAGGATGGGTGAAAAAGTGAGCCAGGGAGTGAGCTAAGAGGATGAGCGTCACGCAAACTACTTAGTGCGGGAGCCAGGCTACCGCTTAGTGTTAGCCTCTGCATTTGTTTTTTGCAGTAAGAATCAGTGGTGGTCAAGTAGAATATGTTAGGCGGGGTCGAGAACCCTCACTCCGCGAAAAGGGGATAATAGCACCACGTTCTGTTGAATTAGCCGAGCACCCTCGAGGCAGTTACACTGTGCTTATGACTGTCTTTTGAAAGTGAAAGCACCAGAAAATAAACTAACAGACGTCATCCGTACGCAAGGAAATGACCACAAGATGCCGAAGACCCGTAGCAAGATGCAGCGCATCCTTCGTGTGACTTGCCGAACACATCCGGCGCTTCGCGCTTGGTGATGTGAGAGCCTGGTCCGGTGAGAACCCGGCCTGCTCCTTCCCGGCTTTGTAGGAATGCGAGGTCAATGGTCTAACGACTACGGCATGCATGGCTACCCCAACCCTTCCCCTCATATCACCGTCTAAGACGTAGGTTACGATTCACACGTTTCAAGCGATTGTTGCCACGCACCTGCTGCTCGCGGAGAGTGTTGAGGAAGTTGGAGGCTGCGAAGAGCATCATCTCCTTGAAGTAAGGGAAGCGGAACTTGCTGTGGATCTTGGCCCGCGCCTCGATACCGTGGACCTGTCAATTCACACGGCATAGTACCGTATCGTACCGTATCGTGGAAATAGGTGTTCAAATATCCCGCTGCGTCAAATCGTACCTAAGGACATGCTATCGCAGCATTCGCTATCACACACACCCCAACCCGTTGAACGTCGTGGTCGGAAAACCGTTTCACCATCGACCCACGGAGGAGGGTTCCTGTTGATCGAACTACCCCCAATACGTAGACGAATCGAAATTAAACACGAGCACTTCGGCGCGGCGAGACGATGGCTCATCTTCACCAACGCTCTCCCACGTTTTGTCTCTGAGAAAAATGCGAAAATCACAAACGTACCACAGGAACCTTGGAGGTAGCAATGCCGCTGGGTAGACCTCCCTTGCGATCCGACAAAGCACCACCCTCCGTGGCAATACCTACATTGTACAGCACGCCCTACACATGATCCGCAGTGCCCCCTGATGAACGTCAAGCCTAGACCCACACGCAAATACACGCAAACAATACCTGCAGCTGCATGGGGATGTTGAGCGAGTGCAGGAAGTTGCCGCCGAACACCAGGGACGGCTTAGGCGTGAAGACGGCGTGGATCCAGCCCGACGGGATCATTAGAGTCTCCCCCGCGTTGAGCACTACCCTGCACAGGGCAGCACAACCCAAGTCATCGACAACAACAACGACAGGCGATCAAAATACAACAAATTGCCAACCAAGCAAAGGAGATGTCATGGAGTGAAGCACACACGCGGCGGAGGCGGCTGATCGAAACTTGACGAAAAAATGCCAACAGACACGGGCGGTGTCATGGCGGGCGATAAAACCACGGAACAGAACGCACCGGCAACGACTACGAAAGGCGATCAAACACACACCACAATGTGAACCGAGCACAAGAGGTGTCATGACACCAAGGGCCGACACACACACGCAGGACCACCAATTTTCACACAAACAACGTGACCGAAGAGCGCAGCGACGGTGGCATCGAGGGCGACAAAAAACTCGGAATATGAGACGTAAGAAACCTGGTGCTGGAATACGGACCGGAGCACTGCCTTATAGAATCAACAAGGCACGCCCCTCCGATACCAAACGTAGTAACGAGTCCGAGAGCTCTAGCGCTGTGCTTCCGTCTGTTGCTTACCTGAGGGAACATCACTCTCCGAAACAAGCTGGAGCCTGCAGGTGTCGATGGGCACGTACGCAAACCTCGCAGCGCAGCAGCGACAAGACCAAAGCCGCTAAACTGGAAAAATAGCCAACTGTAGACAGAAAACAACACTGCAACTCAGCAACGCATCACGGAGCCGTCGAGGGAGACTCTCGAGAGCTCCACGTTGCTTCGACCGCAGACACCGCAACACACCAGACACACCCACAAAACACTTGGAACCGAACTCTCGGCAGTTGACTGCACCTTCGACAGGGCCGTCCGTTCTTCGGACATGGGACGGGGGGCTACAGACTAGTATAGTGTCCGGCGCGACCTATATACCTGTAGCAGGTGTCGGCGAGGTCGCCGAAGAAGACCTGACTCTGCGTCGGACTCCTAATCCAGCTCTCGTACAGTTCCAGGTTCTTCTTGGTGGGACGGATTAGCAGGAACTCCTGCGGGATGTTTCACGTCCACGAATTTTCCCATGTTTTTCGTTTTCATATTATTTTCGTGGCCTTTGCAAAAAAAAAATAATTGCACCGCTACCACCCTGGGAGTTCCGCCCTTGGATGCTGCGGTAGTTGTGCACATAGAACCACTCCTGTCAGTAAGAAGGGGACAAGGCCTGAAGAAACGCCGGTGCCCGCGGGACGAGCAACCCGTTACGGTAGCGACAGCCAGAGGCGTACACTGGCATAGCGGGCGGCGACGATAGCTGTGCACAAGGCCAAGTGCGCACGCGGCGCTGATGAAAGTTTCGTACAAGACGGCCTCTCTACCGGAGGGATACGTCGTTCCATCGCTACGCAGAGAAAACGCTCGCTTACGGATACTGCAGTAGCACGGAAATACCGCTAAGTTCGTCGTGGTGCTTCCAAGAGGGACACCCATATGTGCACAATCTTTGATCTGTTTTCTGGTGCGGTAGAACTTAATTGTTGGTCACTGATACTACTATATCGTGGTATTCACCAAGTTTTTTTTTTTTTCCTTTGTCACCTTTTTGCCTCTTAGGATGTGGTACCACACACTCGTGCCGCCAAAGTCGACGTGGAAGTCGGTGTACGAGCCGCCCTGGCTCATGAGGCAGTAGTACTGAACCTAAGGGTCGATCACAGGGGGCACGAGGGCATGAATACTTGGCGTTGATGCCGGAGACAACCAACAACAAGCCGAGTCGTTGGTATAGCAGAACAAAACATGCCCCGACAGAAAAAGGAACCAGTTACCGATCAGCGTTCAATCTATCTTTGAGACAATACATTCATTGGTACAATCGAACAGCGGTTGCCTTTCTAGAGAACGATAGAACGCATGGAGTGATGTTTTGACGGGGGGCGAAAATCCCAACTCGAGTCATTGATACAGCAGCAGAAGCGGTGTCTCTTATGGAGAACAATTCCCTCACCGCAAGGACCCCGAAAAGCTGGTGGGAGGTACCAGGTGGTCACACAAACTGAGACACCCACAAACAAAGGGGGATTGCAGATGGAACCACCAAGCAGAGTGAACACATCACAGCGCGTTAGCAGGTGGTGTGTAACAAGGGGCCGTGCGGCCGGTCACAGGCTGAAGCGTCCACGAACAAAGGAGGGGTAAACCAAACATGACAAGCCCAAACGAGACAACAGAAAAAGCGTTAGCAGTCTTGCCGAAGAAGCATGCGGTGGCGGGGGGTACACGACAGGTTCGTCGCAGAAAAAATGCGGCGCAACAGCCGTGAACAACCCGTACTCCAGAGAACCGTGTCATGCCACTCTAACAGTGTGTAGATGACATGCAGTTTTCCAGCAGACACCTCCATGGTTTGCGATTGTTCCGCGTGTCGATATTCCATCGACCGTCGAACCGGGGGCTTGAGCGTACATACATCAATCCCCATCGCGCATAGGCCTGCCCACCGCCCACCTTAGGGAACTGTCCTTCCTGCAAACGGTCAGCCGGCCAGCACCGGTTAAGCCAATCCATGTCTCGCACCAGCTGCGGCGACTGAACCATCTTCGCCAACGGCGTGTCACTGGACCATGGATCATGATTAACAAACGGGTGGCCAAGGGAGAACGGAAGAAGCTTAACGAAGTACATTTACAGCATCGCAATGACGCATCCGTGACCCTTGTCATTGCAAGGTCTAAAAGGAGGGGGTGGGGTGTCTGACGAAGAAAACATCGATGGGGAATACACCACATGTCGCCTTACCTACACAGTGCAACGTCTGCATGAGGCTATTCGAGACCAGGAAACAACGGCCAGCACGCGCGATCGGACCAAACCTGATCCTCAATACGTAGTCTGCGAGGAAGTGAGAGCTTGCACGACATACTTTCAAGCTCTCCGGCCATGCAAAGACCCGACGCCGACAACACAGAAGCACGTTTACAGCGGTCATCGGTGCAGAACGGTCGACATCGCCAGTCGTACGCCGCTAGAGGTACACAAACCCTACCCGGCAAACAATCCACTGCCGTTTCGTCAAGTGCGGGAAAAAAATATTGCCGCCTGTTCTCCAACGATTCTGTTCGGGTGTTTGAAACAAACGTGCTCGATTTCCCCCGTGCACTGCGTCGGCAAATTAACGCGCACCTGAACTCTAAGGATATCATGTTGAGGATCGCTTGTCCAGGCTTGGTGCACGTCTCGAAGTACTCCGCAAACTCTGCCAGCGTCATGCTCTAAGTAGGCACACGGGGGCCAAAAGCAGAGGAGGAGGCGGAGGGCGGATGGGAAAGGGACCAGAGGTAAACAAGAAGCGCGCAGGGCGGGTGGGAGGTGGGTGCGGCGGCCTAGCCATTGCCGCGTTGCATCGCTTCCAAACACATGGGGCGGGCGAATTTCGAACCGCTTCCCTACCAAGCGTATATCGACTCTTGGTCACACATCGAAACTTACACGTGTTCACGCAATCTCAGGATATGCCAGACTATTGCAGACAGCTGCCACTTGCGTAGAGTCTGGACTCCATGCGGATCGGACAAAAAAGCACGCCTTCCCATGTGGGCAAAACCACAAACGTCAAGGCCACATTGGCAAGAACAACAACCCCTCCTCGTCCCTTTCCTCGCCCGCCTTTACTCTCATGTTGTGGGTGGGGATGTGGGTGTGTGTGGGTGGCAAACTAAGCCCTACCTGATCGATGATAGCCTGTTCCCCCACGTGTATGGGTCGGATGGCCTTGTCCTCGCCGACAACGCGAGCGACGTCGGCGACGGTGAAGGACGAATCTGGAACCTAACACATTGTACAGCGTCACGGAACATGTTGTAGTAGGATGGAGCATGGGTTCCTCGTTCAACGTGGACGCGTGGCCATGTGGCGTGCCTGCAGTAGGTGTGGCCCTGCGGCACTCAACCAAAGGCTGCAGCAGGCGCGATAATAGCGGACTGCATAGAGGGTTGTAGGGAGACAGTTTCCATCATGAAAACAGGAATGAGTTGCATCTGGGATGCATGGCGCGCTACACAGCAATATACACGTCCGCACTGCGCCAATTCCTCGCTTTCGCCACGGCAGTCACTTGCTGCATAGGTTCTGCTCGCCCATCGATACCAGCACACATTTCCTGATGTGCAGACAAGCTATGCATGCGCCTGAACCCCAAAAAATCAGCCTCGAATCAACACGCAGCAGCATACAAACATCTCACAACTGGCTAAAATTCGCGGGAAACGTCGACGGCAAGAGTGGATACCTTAAGGCCCATACCGCCCTTATCGGGTGCGATGACGGGCTCTCGGAAGCCGCTCTCCGCCGCCCACTCGGCCGTGAGATCCTCGCCCCTGATACGCTTTGTGTCGTGCACGGCGAACGTCTTAGAGGCCAAAAGTTTCTTGAACTTGTGCCAATCTTCGGGGCGAAGGAAGGCCCATATGGGGTAGGGGGGGGAGGGGGGGAGGGGGGGGNGGGGGGGGGGGGGGGGGGTAGAGAGAGCGAGAGCGAGAGCGAGAGAGAGAGAGCGCGACAGAGAGAGAGAGAGAGAGAGAGAGAGAGAGACAGAGAGAGACAGAGAGAGAGCGACAGAGAGAGACAGAGAGAGAGACAGAGATAGAGGGGGTGGTAGCCGTCGTGGCGTGGCTGGTGTCAAAACGAAGTTGGACATAGCACCCCAGAGGATACCCGGTCGCAACTCCTGTGATACGTGGAGATAAACCACTTCGGAGACACTGGTGTGGCGCTGCTCTAGGAAGACTGCCTTTCTTTCAATGCTGTACCAAAATTGTTCGCTGACAATCTCCAATCATACTGCCGTAACGCTGCGAAAAAACTTGCGCAACACTTCCAACACCCCCCCGTATGCTAGGGTATATTATCTCGAACGGGTTGTCTTTTTTCTTCGATTTCATGTTCTTCCTACAAACAATAAGGAACACTGTTGGTGGTTATGACCAGCAGCTTTCGCACGGTCTTTCCGACAAAGAAAAAATGTTGGATGAAGCGTGCAATCGGGGAAGTTGGGTCAGAGTTGGAGATGGGGTCGGCGTCGTACCCCCGCCCCATTCTATTTCGTCATAAACTCGGTCCGTGTATCCCCTCTCTCTTCATGCCGGTCATGGGTTCGATAACCGGCATGATCCAGGCTGACGGCGAGATGGAGCACACGATCTTGCGTCGCTTCCTGCAGGAACCGATGCTACTTCCTCATCAGCTTCATTTCTCACGGAGGCGGTACGTGATGATGCTGCTGTACCAGTACAGCAGATCACACCGAAGGTGTCGCCTTTTGATTTGCCCCGAGGTGACAAAGCACACTACAGCACCTCATGTCTTCCCTGGCACCTTACCCCTCACCATCCGTTGTCAGGCCAAGCGCAGGAGTGTGCCCCTGCACCAGCTTCTTGTCCGTGCACGAGCGCTTCAAGTGGATCCGGAGCTTTCCCTCGCCAACACGGCGGGACGATGCCCCCCCTGCCGCACCGTGCCCCCCCCCCCCCCCG